TAATATCTGCCATAAATATACCGGTTTCAAATGTCGTTTCTATATAATTATTAATAAAAATATTGTCAATTGCTGTTGCCGGAGTTTTGGTTACTCGCGTTGGTTTATTAATAGTTGACAAGGCAATAAATTTAAAAAGCATATCAAAAAAAGATTTTAAATATGGAAATTTTGTGTTAGAAAGAGCATCAAGATTTATGTCACCAGCAATATATAATGTTTTATTTTCTTTATTTATTTTTATAATCATATTTTTGATAAAAGTTTCAAAGGTTTTTATTTTTCCACTCGATGGACGATAAACACATCCAACTAAAACGTTTCGGTATTTTTTATTAATAATTTCAATGAAAAGACTTTCATAATTATTATTAGAAAAGCATACCTTAAAATCTTGATTATAATACGCACTCGTGTATAATACGCATGCTTGATTTTGCGCGAAATTTCTACGAAAAATTAAAATTCGACTATAATACGCACCTATTACTTATCAATATTTTATTTAAAAATCGTTAAAATAATTTTAATCCAATAAGTTTCTTAAAATTCCAAATAATTATTTGAAATCAGAAAAATTACTCAGCAAACCAAAACTAAGCGCAGAAATTAAATATTCTTTGTCAAAATGAGCCTTTTTCTAAAAAAAAAAAAATATTTTTTGAATATTGCGTTTAATTTACAGTTGAAGTTTATTTAATGGATATTATTTTTTTAAAAAATAAATTAATAAAAAATTTTAAATTTCAAAATGCAGCCTATCCTAAGGGCGTTTTTTTTTTTTTATCTATCAAATATTATTTTACGTGATACTGTCGCCATTTTATAATTTAAGCTAGTGCTTTTGTGAAAAAATATTAAAAATTATTGCTTTTTTATCCCAGCTTTTAAGTTTACGTAAATATTAACCCTTTAAAAGAATGAGAAAAATATTTTTGATGCACAACTCTGTCATATTCTCGCCTCCATAATAATTATAAATATTTTCGTTAAAATTTTTATATTGCGCTTTTTTCTCATTTAAGAAGTTTCATAAAAAAAGTTTTGGATGACTGAGTAATTATTTGGATTTTTGGTAAAATTTAAAGTAGCTAAAAAAAACTTTTTAATTTAAAAATTCTTTCGGAAACAAAATATTCTTTTGGAAATCGGAAAAATTCTTAGGTTATAAAATCCGTGACTGTTTAAAATTTTACGCAATTATTCATTAACATTAATAAACTTTTTAGAAACCAAAAAAAAAACCATAAGGAAAAAAACTTAAATGTTTAATTCAAAGCCAAAAAATACTGTCAAATTACCATTTTTAATCACTTTCACTAGAATACAGCTCATTTATTGTTTTTGCGTCCATGTCATAACTATTAGTGCCGTCGTAATACATATCTTCATCATTACCCTCATCTGATGACACCTGATCATCTTCCCATGATAAGTTTTCCTCGCTCCCGTCCAATTTATTTGAAATGCATTATTTGAGAAATCCTTGTTTAATAATAGACGGATCTAATTCATTCCACGTCAAAAGTGCCCATTCTGCAACCTCCAAGAGAGTTGGTTGACGCATACGGGCACCTGCAGTATATGTGATTGCTGCCACTTAACCATTCATTCCACTTACGACGAAGAGCTTCCTTCATCGGCTTGTTGACAGAAACGTCTAAAGGTTGAAGAATACGGGTCATTCCACCTGGAATAATAACCAGATCCGACTTTATTTGGCGCATTTTGTTCTGGATAAATGGTATTTGATGACACCTAAATGAATCGAGCACCAACATGGAAGGCGGCTTACTTACACCACCCGGACGATGCCCCCAACCCATTGCATGAACACGGATATGTACACCTTTCGGAAACTGCAATTTTGGAAGAGTCTTTCTTTTAAAAACGATGTACGGCGGCAACTTGCCTCCATCTGCAGTACATGCCAGCATCACAGTGAAATGAGACTTTTCATGCCCAGTTGTTCTAATTGAAACTGTCTTCTTACCTTTTAGGTCTACAGTCCTGTTGTAAGGCATATCGAAGGTCAGGGGTGTTTGATCTGCATTTCCAATTTGGGAAAAATCATAATTATGTTTCTTTCTCAATTTTATCACGAACTTTTGAAACTCAAGAAGTTTTTCTTCTTGATCGTCTGGAATATGCTGCGCGATGGTGGTTCTTCTACGAACAGAAAGCCCATTTCATTTCATGAAAAAAACTGCCCATCCGTACGAAGCTTTGAATTGTGTTGCGTGTGAACAAGATTTTTCGACTTCTAGAGCTTTCAGTCTGATTTAAATGCACGAAACTCCGATACCTTGCTGTCTCTTATCTACTACCCAACCCATCACAGTCTTTTTCAGTTCTGGAAAACTAGGTCGTAATCCCCGATTCGCCTTTTTCTTTCTGGGCATAATTTGTAGAGCTTCTTTGTTTTTTCGCCACAATTGAACATTTGCTTCGTTTATGGAAAAGTGACAACTTGCTTCTCGATCTCCGTGAGACTCAGCATATTTAACTATTGATAACTTTTCTGCTGCTTTATAGGACCGTCTTGAAGACATTTTTACGGAAATAAATAAAATAAAATAATAAATTTTTGTACTTGCAACAACTATCACTTATTAGATGAACGCGTGTGCGATACGTACAGTGAGTTCGGTTTTGGTAACCTTTCTTTAAACATGCGGTTGAATTACGCAGTAAAGATGTGAGCAGCTGTGCTATACGTTTGTTCATTGTTTAAAAACAACTATTTTTTTGATCTCGAGCATAATACGCACCCCCATTTTTTTGGAAGAAAATGTGAAAAAAAAGTGCGTATTAAAATCAAGATTTTACGGTAGTATGTTTTTTATTTTAAGAGCATACTTTTCTAAGACATAAATTCCTAATCCTCCTCCTTTTTTCACACCACCTCGTGGTTGACTAATTAGTTTGTATAATGGTAAAGTATAATTAGAATTTAATTCAAGAGTACTTTCTGTATCATGCCAAGTCTCTGAAAGAGATATGACGTCGAACGTGTAATTTAAAATATTTAAAAATTCTTTAAGTTTATCAAAATTTTGCTGTATGCTTCTAATGTTTATGTGTAATACAAAAAATGAACCATCATCTGTTTTTACTTTAAAATCATAAGGATCAATATACGGTGAGCTAATTAAGTTGATTTGAGTTTCTTGAAAAGTATTTATGTTTTCTTCAGAAAGATTATTTATAAAGTTGTCCTCAAAAAGATCTAAATTTAAATTATAAAAATCTAATTTCTCTGAAAAAATCGACGCTATTTTTTAGTTTTTTTTCAAAATAACTAATTTAAAAATATTCAATATAATAAAAAATAAAAAAATAAAAAAAAAATAAAAAAAAAAAAATAAAAAAAAAAAAGTTAAGTTTGGTTATACTCTAAGAAGTCAAGTACACTGGTAATGAGCTTGACCTCTAAGGCATCTTCGTCTTTTTAGAAATTAGTTACTCTGTCAGAACAAATAATTTTAATTAGATTTAGAGTTGATTTGGTTTGTTGACTCATTAAATTTAATTAGTCTATAATATTATAAGCTGGGCAACATTGCAACTTTTAAGACACTTTTACCAGAACAGAGGATAGGGCGTGGCCTCTCTATTATTTAATTCACCAACCAAATTGTTCCTAAAAATGCTTATTTTACATCTTCAGAAAGCATTTTCTCTCAATGTATATTGGTAGAAAAAAACATATTAGAGTCCTTGATGAGTCAGAAAAGCACAAGAATCAATTAAGAAAAGTGGGCAGTGGACACAGTGGGACTAGAAAGATATATATTCTAAAAATAAGTTTTATAGAAAACGACTAGATTATTTAATTGACTTACATCCAGAAAATTAACTCTACCATCTTTTCTGAATGATTTAACTACAGAAGATTAACCGGGATCTGAAAGAAAGCGCTTTCTCATAACAAACGGCACGAATTTATTTGTTCAACTCTAAATTCTAGAAAGACTGAATACAATTTAGGTTCAAGAAACAATACAATACGTGAACAAACACATATAATCGTCCCAGGATAAATGTTGTATAGATTTTCAATAAAAATAATCGGTAGTATAATCAATAGGTTTTACAGAACTTGTATAAAAATTCTATAGAACTTGTGTAGAAAGTCTATAAAAGGTTATAATAAAAAAATTCGCTATAGGCTTTAGAAACATATTTTTTATAGAAACTTAACTACAAAAAGTCCATAGAATGTTTTTTAGAACTGAAATTAAAAGTCTGTTGAAGTATCTATAGAAATTTTGTAGATTTTTCTTCAGAAGTTTCTACATTTTTCAAAATTACATTTTTCAAAAATGAAATTCTAATTTTGAGTTCCTTTTTATTAATTATTTAGTTTAGGGTAAAAATTTTTCAAAAAACACAAAAAAAAAAACACAAATCTGCACCCTATATCAACAAAATTTTTGAAACTTGGCACAAATGTTTATAGACATATGTAAGGAAAGATTGTGATTTCTTTTCATTAAGTTCCTTACCGTTTATAATTTAAAGGAATTTGAAGTTTCCTTGATTTTGACTAAAAACTGAGGGGGGTGAAAAAAATCATTCCGTTTACTTTCACCTTAATATGGTGCTTGCAGTGATGCCACAATTCTGAAACTTTGAGAGTACTACCAAAAGAGTTTAAAACCTGTTAAATCCGAAAAATGTAGTTTTCTATATGTCAAAACAAGGGAATGTAGTTTATTTTAAGATCCATAAAATACACTTTATAACGCCGAGAAAAAAGGGTATTGACAATAGCTATAAAAAAATCTGACAGATATTTAATAAATTTAATTTCGATTTTCTTAAAAATAAGATCAACACCTACTTTTCGAACGAATTTTGTTTCGGCCTTATATTTACTTGAGGATATATTGATGTTTGATATAGACACAAAATTTTTTAATATTTTTTAAATTAGACACTTGATATAACCCCTACTTTTATATATATGCTTTACATTCACATTATTTAGAAGTTGGTTCACAAAACATAATATTTAAAAAAAGAATAGATAAGACATAATAGACTAATAAACATAAACTCAACTTCCTTAGGAAAACAATTTACTCCTAAGTCCTCTTTATATATAATAGTAGCAAAGTCCTGTTTTTGATATCGGTACCTCAACTTTGCAAATAATGTGGAAATCAGGAATCCAGCATTGGCTTTCCTTTCGTGGCCATTAAAACAACCGTGCAGGACCATTAGGACACATAAATTTTACAAGCATATCTTTTTCTTCTAAATTAATATCTTCAATGACTCCAATCTACCACTTTTGCTCATAGGAAACACAGGCATAATCACCTGGTACTAGGTTTACAGTTGTTATCTGGATATTTCCAAAGTCATGAAGTTCTTCGTCAACACTGCATAGTTTAGTGCCTACCTAAACAAAATAGTAACATATGTAATTATTCCGTTTTACTTATCAAGCATGTTTTATTAAATGCATAGATAGCAAATGCAGAGGAAATAAAATAAAATACAAATATTTTTGATAACTATTCTGAAAAAATCTAATATCTATTTGAGTTTATCAATAAAAGTTATGCGTGTATTTTAAAATATGGTAAAAGGTATAATTAAAAAATAATAATTTACCTTTTGATGGCCAAGTGGTAAAAACTGATGGTAACTACGTGTTCCAGGTATTGTATTAGCAGTATGCAATCGTTCTTTAAGAGCGGTTCTCACCAAAGTTAAATCTTCTGATGAAATATATATGAAACTTATGCCTTCAATGTTTTCATTGCAATATCTATACAATGTTTGTGGAGATAAAATATGATTATCCATATCTCTTTGCAAACTTGCTAATGTTGCCAGACCTTTGACTCTACCACCTATCCCATCACAAGGTTGCTTACCGTGACTAGTTGCAAAAAAGTTCCATTTAGTAGTAAAACCAAAATCTCTACAAAATGAAACAAAGATTTAACATATTTTTGCAATTCTTATATTGACCTGCACACCCATTGAAAAGTATTCAATATTTTTTGTTTGAGGCAAATTTGTTTTTATATCATTGCAAACAACCTCAATAATTTTATAAACCATGTTCACATCATGGATCATATCATCCGAAATAATACAATAGGATTTGTGCTTGTGAATGCCTTCTTTTTTGAAATAAATAATTACTGGATGAAATGTACATTGTAAACTTGTCCAATGAAAGCTTTGCACTTCATCCTGATTTACAAATTTATAGTTTTCTGAAAAATCACCCAGAAATAATGCTGTTACCTTATTGATATCTTCTTTTCTTGATCTCAGGTATAATGAAGGACTCTTTGCCAAATACGAATGTGGTGCAAGTTTTTTGAGTTTTCTACATACTAGTTCAATGTATTCAAACACTGGCTCT